CAACAAGGATGCGGGAAGCAAGTCGAAGGCAATTCTTGAAGTCATATATTTTGATGTATGTTATCTTATCCAGATGGATTCAGTTGGAGGTAACAGATACTTTGTCACGTTCATAGATGATTTTAGTCGAAAACTGTGGACTTACCTGATCAAGAAGAAAAGTAAAGTGATTGAGGTATTTGCCAAATTTAAATATATGGTCGAAAGACAAAGTGGTCGAAAGCTAGATATTTTGAGGACTGATGATGGTGGAGAGTATGTGTCGAACGATTTTGATGCATTATGTGAGAAAGAATAGATTGTGAATGAATGGTTTCACCCTACACTCCACAACATAATGGAACTGCAAAAAGGAAGAATAGAACCATCATGAATATGGTGAGAAGTATGTTGAAAGGCGAGTATCTACCCAAAGAATTATGGGGATAAGTTGTGTCGACTGTAACATGCATCTTGAATAGATGTCTGACGAAGAAGTTAGAAGGAATCACGCCAGAAGAATGTTAGTCTGGTGTCAAGCCTAGCCTAAGTCATTTGAAGGAGTTCGGATCTATAGCGCATAGACATGTGTCAAATCAGTTGAGAAGAAAACTTGATGACAAGGCAGGTCAAATGATCATAGTAGGATATCATTCAACTAGAGCATATAAGTTGTTCGACCCAGTGAACAAGCAAGTAGTGATCAGCAAAGACGTGATCATAGATGAGATTAAGGAATGGGATTGGACTGATAATGTTAAGAAGGATTCAGTGACAATCTCATGTGAAGAACCAACTAGTGAAGTCGAAAGAGAAGTTCGACAAGAATAAGTCAGAGGTGAAGCTGGTCCAAGCAGACCTCAATGAACAAGACACATGCCTGCAAGGTTGCAAGAATGTGTGATTACATCAGATGGTGTGGTTAATGAATAAAGTGAGTTGGTACATTATGATTTCTATGCAGATGTCGAACCAGTCAATGCAGCTGAGGCATTGAAAGATCCAAAGTGGGTGAAAGCAATGAATGGGGAACTATAGTCCATTGAAGTCAACAACACTTGGTCATTTGTCGTTCCTCAAGACAAGAAGGAAATTGATGTGAAATTGGTATACAATGTGAAGCTAAATCCTAAAGGAAAAGTAAATTGAAACAAGGCGAGACTTGTGGCGAATGGATTTCTTCAGAAAGAAGGAATCGACTTCGATGAAGTTTTTGCACTCGTTGCTAGGATCAAAACAATCAGGTCGGTTGTTGGTCTAGTAAACATGAACAATTGGCACATATTTCAGATGGATGTGTAATGTCCATTCATGAATGGACCCTTAGATGAAGAAGTTTATGTTGTACAACCAACTGGGTTTGTGAAACAAGGCGAAGAAAGGAAGGTATACAGGCTGCATAAAGCCCTGTATGGACTTAAGCAAGCTCCAAGAGCTTGGAATAAGAAGATAGATAGTTTTCTAAGGGAGAAAGAATTTGTGAAAGGCACAACTGAGCATGAAGTATATGTAAGGAGAAGCAATAGTGAATTGCTTATACTACGTCTCTATGTTGATGACCTGTTGATAGCAAGAAAATGCAAGAGAGAGATCGAAGACTTCAAATATGACCTATGCGAGGAGTTTGAAATGTCAGACTTGAGAAATCTCTCATACTTCCTTGGCATCGAGTCCTACGAGAGTGATAAAGGTTTAATGATGCACCAAAGAAAATATGCATGTGAAATACTCAAGAGATTTGAGATTCAAGATTGCAACCCAACATTGACTCCAACTAAGCCCAAAATGTAATTGTTGAAAGAATCAGATGAGCATGATGTCGACCCAACCCGATATAGAAAACTTATTGGGTCACTAAGATACCTTTGTCACACAAGGCCTGACTTAGCATACAGTGTAGGTATGGTAAGTAGATTCATGCAGAAGCCAAAAGTATCACACCTAGCAGCGACATAAAGGATACTAAGATATCTGAAAGGAACTTTTGACTACGACATACTATTTCCTACAGCCGATGAAGGAAAATAATGCAACTTAGTGGAATACACCGACTCATGTTGGTGTACTGATGTTGAGGATAGAAAATCCATAGCTGAATATGTATTTATGCTAGGTGGTGCACTAGTTGCTTGGAGTTCAAGAAAAGAGCCAGTAATGACATTGTCGTCGTGCGAATACATAACTGCTTCTCTTTGTGTATGTTAAGCAAAGTAGATGGTGCACCTAGTCGAAGAGATTACATCAAAGAGTCATGGAGCAATTACCATGAAGATCCACAACATGTCAACTATCAACCTGGAAATTTTTTGGATAGCACATGGGCGAAGTAAGCACATCGAAATGAGGTTTTAATACATTTGAGAGCACGTAGCAGAAGGGAAGATGAACTTGGAACATTGCAGAACTGAGAGTCAGATTACAAATATCATGACGAAAAGAGTGCAAGTCGAAGTGTTCAAGAAGCTAAGGTATATGATGAATATAGATAGCTTAGACACAATGAATTAGATGGTGTGTTGAAAATGTAATTTCCTGTGACGAAGCAATTATAGCTTGATAGAAATAATGATGTTTCGAAATTAGCCTAGTGTGTATCGAGTTGTGTTAGATGTCGAAGAGTCAAAGCAGGTTGCTTGACACAGAAATTATACTTAGATCAAAATAGAAATTTTGGGCTTTTGTGTTTTTGGGCTTTACCTTATGGAGTAAGGTAGCTCAAATATAAATAGAGGGAGTAACCCATATTCTTATAATAACTTGTATTCACAGAAGTTTGCAGTTGCAAAGTGAATAAGAGAACTTTCACAGTTTATGGGCAGAGAGAAACTCTGTAGAAAATCACTATCTTCTTCAATTTTCATCAAACCCTAAATTTTGTTCTTATTCCATTAACAGTTGCTGCATAGAATCAGTCTTGCAATCAAGGTGTGATTGTTTCACTTGAGTGATTAGTAAAGAACAAGGGATTTTAATTGGTTGATTGAATCTTGTTCATCAAGATTGACTCGAAATTCTCAAAGTTTTTGGGTTAACTCTAACATTTATAATAGATGAATTAGTCAACAAGGAGAACCACACCTTCATTGTTATAGGAGGAAAAATGATTCTCACTTACCCAATGCTCCTGAAGAGAGGGGGAGAATAACCACTTATGAATCCAAGAATTCAGACTCAATCAATCTCTATAAATACGTCAATTTTAGGGTTGGGAGAGATAGATCAATCATTCACCAAAAACCACAGATACAGAGCTTCTCACTAGCCTGTATGAGTTTGATATAAATATTATCAACAACCCTAAATATCACATACAACCCTCCAAATACAAGATACCCTTATTGTATGTTTTTAGTAAGTATAATTGGCGCCTACTCTGGGTCCTAGTAAAATTGACCTGGGCCAACCTTGCATTCGACTGTCAAGTTTCTATCAACCTCTTAACTTTTTCAAATATGGTAAGCAAACAAGTAACAACTTCGTCCAGCAGCAGCTATGACGACGACCAAGATTCCATGGCGGAGATGTTCACCGCTACGAATTAATTATATCTCCATAATCATATGGATCTATGTGCTTGCACATATAGTTAATATGATCCAAGATGATGCATTTTTAGATAACAAAACTACAATACAAATGATTAGCTATTTGGTTTTGATGATGACAACACTTAATATCAAACGTTATCCAGTTAAGTCAAATATATGCTGAAGATAACTCAAGTGGTCAAAGATTTACAACATGGTTGATTAAGATATCCTCTCGAATCAAGTTATAGTTTTAAAGATCGAGACATTTATTTAAAGTCAACATTATGGTTAAACGACTTTTAAGTAAAGACTTATGATGCAGGGATCACCAGTGATTTCTCAATTCTCAAATGATGGTAATAACCATGAAGATATCCCAAGCATCATTAAGAAGATTCAAGGACCTTGTGTGATGATAAAGCTAAAGATAATGATACCAAGATCTAAAGTTTCAGGGTTGTGAAAGAGAAGAAGTGTGAAAGCTTATTTGATCGTGTTCGTTTGAGTGACTAGTGTCTTGTAAAAACACAAGAGTATTTTTGAAAATACAATGGCTAAATTATCACACCAAAAACATTAAAGAAGTATTTCATTATTTTATTTAAATAACCTCGTAATGTTTTAAGGGCATAGCCAATTTATTAAGGGAGTGTCTGATAGATTGGAAGACTTTTTTCAACTAAATAATCGATTAGACTATTAACCTAGTTAGTTAGGTATTGTTTGGTTGAACTAAAATTGATTGGGACAATCACTTAATGATTAATAATATCAACTATTTATCAAAATCTTTTATTTGTAACCTTAATAATCAATTATTTAAATAGAAAATAGATAAGAGTTTGTCAGTCCTTTCACTAAAGATTACAATAATCCGTCCTATTGATTCAAATCAAAATAATCCTACTTAAAAGTTACTATCATTCCACCCATCATAAAATTATTCAAACTATAACCTACACCTATTATAGTTAATATATATTAATCACAATATAAATATTTCAAGAGTCATCAAGATACTATTCCATCAACATTTAATTTTATAAATATGGAAAATCAATATTTTTTAACAATTTAAAGTGTAATATTTATGCTGATGATTTTAATGAAAATTCAAAAAATTATTTTTATATTTTCTTCATTTATAATAAATAAAACTCTTTTAAATAAAATAAATAAAAAATCTTTAATCAAATAAAAAATAATCTTTTAAATTTTCTTTTATAGATCCAAAGAAGACAAAACGGCGACGTTTTTATCATTTAAAAAAAATTGAAATGGAAGAAAAGAGCTTGAGTTGAGACTATCAGCAACAGACTCTCACTCCCTCTCTCTCGCCGCCGTCCGCTGCCGCCTCCGGCAGTCTCGTCTCCGCCGTTTGGTCTTTCTCTCACTCTCTTTATTGGTCAGTCACAACTATTTTTGTGTTATTTGTTGAGCTTATATCCTAACAGATTCAATTTTTTTTTGTTTGAATCAGGAAAAACAAAAATGAAGATTGTTTCAATGGCAGTTAAATCATTCAAAGGCAATTTTCCATTTAGGGTTCATCACACTCCTTTGCTAAGAAACCTTTCTACTTGGACATTTCCAGGTACAGATGTTATTGCTAAAACCTTGATTTCAATAATTGATTTTGATTTTGATTTTACATGTTTTACTTGTTGAATTTATGAATCTAGTGTACCATGTGTTTGGGAAATTGCGTTTTCAGTGTGGAAAATAAAATTTAAACTAGAATCCTACCTATTACTAGAACAACTTCAATTGCAGTAGTATCCGTTGTTGACATTGGACAAGAGATAAAAATTCAAAACACTAAATATTGTTGTGAGGATCAAAGGGAAGAGGCAAATTACCTACTAAGTTTTTATTACTGTGTTTTAGGGTTATGTTTCTAGGCTATTTAGTGTAAATATTCAAAACAGGGAGGGTCAGCATAGTTTCAGGAATAAGAAGGAAACTGAGTGTAATAAAGCAAACCTTGAGGGATTTCAGTTTTCATATAGTTAGACGAGAATTTAATTTTCGTGTTTTCTGTTACAAAGGCATAGTCTATCTGTGGTTAGGATGTTTTGAATTTGTAATCTTTATTTTTCTTTCTGATGATTATTTATTTCTATAATCCTTATGGTCACCTTATTGAGCAGGAAATGGAGCTGCTAATCAGCAGGTTAACAAGTCAGAGTCATCCGAGGAATTTGAGCAGCGAATATTTAGTCCTGGGCGAAATTCCAAAACAGATGCCATTTTAGATAGGCTGAATCAACAAGCAAGGGGTCGAGATAGATCTGGTGGAAGTTCCCAGCTGTTGGATGATCTGGAACAAAGTTTTGATACATTATCTGATGGATTGGATGGGAAGCTGAATAATGCTGCCAGATACTTTGAATTCGATCCTGATGAGATCGATAAAGATGATTATTCTTATCGATATGATACCACTTTTCACCAGGGATCAACATATAGTACAAAGGTATGCTGAGTAGCAAACCATAACTTAGTCAGTTATCACTCTTCATATTTACTATTACATATTATTCTGTATATATGTGATCTCTTTCTTATCTTTTTAATTTTGTTTGACATGAGGGAAGCTTATGGTTTATGTCTGAATTGATCTTTAGATGTGGTCAATCCTAACAGATGTTTGGTAGTAAATATTTCTTGAAGTATAGGGAAAATAATGGGAACTACTGAATGTACCATGACAACATAGCTTATTATATCACAGATAATGAGAAACTTATAAAATGAAGCTTGTTATGGGAACTGCAGAAAATAATGCAAATCCGAATTCTTTTTTTAGTTGCACGGTGATCAATATTCATTATCATAAGCTAGTTCACATTGGAAACGAATTTGATTTTGCTTTCAAGAAAGCCTTTTCTCAGGCAAGTTTCTTGTTCTCTTGCGTTGAAAACAAGATATTTTAAGCAGGAGGAAAGAGCAGGGTAATCTAAATAGTTGTGTGATTGAGAGCAAAAATATTTCACTTATTGGTTAAACACTTAGCCTGGCCAATACCTATCCAGCCAAGTTGTCAAATGATACTTCTCTCAGCCGCTAGACAAAGGCAAACCTGTTTGAGCCAAAACACAGTTCTCCTGTTTGTTGCTCAAAAGAAAAAATTTGTGTTGCAGTGGCATAGATATATTGTGTATGACTGGACAGCGTTAATGGTGTTTTTTCCCTTTTTTTTTTTAATATTCAAATTATTGTGATAATATTGATATTTTTAATCTATTCCACTGACGCATTTAAATTTTACAGAAACAACATATCCATCTGTACTATTAAGATTCGGTATATGGACCGATAATGTTGCTAAGTTAATTTTAGATCATCATTAGTTTCTTGTGTGTGCTTTAATCAATAACTGCTATAGTTATTTGTATTTATGGAAATTTATCTGATGTTTCTTTTGTACCAGCTCTAACAAATTAATTTTCTGATCTGTGCAATATCTTCATACAGGATCTTGATCTTACAAAACCTGCTGCACGAAAACCCGCCATAAGGAGCGAATTCGTAGTATCCACTAAAGAAGTTCTTAGTCAAGCAGATTTCAGGGTTAGCACTTCTGTCAAAGTAGTTCTGTTATAGGATATTTTATATATCATGTGTAGACTAATTACTTTCTATTTCTGTTTGCCATGTTAAATTGAAAATTGTCATGTACATAAATTTGTTGTTTCTGCATGCAAGTATTATGATACAATAGAATGAAAACACCAATGATTTCAGGGTAAGAGTCGTCCTTTCAGTTTTCCCTTATATCTTATGCCTTGCATCTTTACATCTAAGATCCAGTTTGGCATCCCTTTAAAATTGTATGAAAAATTTATTTCATATGCAACTCACATAAATTTATTGTGATGTTATCGTGCTGAAGTCTTCATTGATTTATGGTGATTCAACTTTTATTTATGTAAAGCCAGATGGAAGTGAGGAAAATATTTGCGACACATCTGTTTAATTGTTGTAGCTCTTAATAGTGAGGCTAAGATTTGCATATTTACCTCGATAATGAAAAAATGTTCCTGTCGATTCTATTTCTGGAATGACTCTTAGCAGTATCATTGGTTTTATGCAGAATGTAAGATTCTTGGCAAACTTCATAACAGAAGCTGGAATTCTTATCAAGAGGAGCAAGGTAAGCTCTAATCTACTGTAGGGTAGTAGATTGGTTAGGAATGATGAACTAGTAAGAAAGAAAAATAAAGAGTGGATATTTTACAATTAGTACTATTACTGCAGCCATTTCCCTTGTTCTCCTTTTTGTTTATTCTTACCAAACAGCTTATTTCTTATTCATTGTGACTAGACTGGCATCAGTGCGAAGGCTCAAAGGAAGGTTGCCAGGGAGATTAAAACTGCCAGAGCATTTGGCTTAATGCCCTTTACAACAATGGGTACAAAGTCATTTATTTACGGGAGAACTATGGAGAATCTTGATGACGACTTTTCGTACAGGAGTGAAACTAGAAACATGCCTAGTGAAATTGATATTGAAGACCATGTTTAAGACAGTGGTGTTGGATTAGCTTGCATAATCTTTTTTTTTTTTTTCTCTACCTAGATTAAGAGACGATTGAAATTTATTAAATAAGTGATTTTGATGGTATACTTTGACGGTGCCTATGTAGTTCTGCTATACATTCTAAAGTCTTGAGCATTATTTATTTGAATCTGAATATTACACTGATTGATACACATACAGTCATACTTAACAGTTATAAATTGCATTTCTTCATGATTCAACTTTACTCTTTGATTTTCATTGCATGATATCTTGGAGAAGCAATGTCATATTTAGACAAGAGGAACCACCTTTTTCAACAGCTCTATTTGCTATTTCACTTAATTTACTAGCCCTTTCTCTTATCTCTTTACTTTCTCCTCCCTCATCCATCACCCTACATATTGCTTCCTTGATACCTTGCTTCTTCACCAACACACATAACTTCTCTTCTACTCCCCACCTCATTGGAATCTCTACCCCAAGGCTCACTCCAATCCTCAAGACTTGAGTAACAAGCTTCTCATTCAGAAATTGGTCTGCAAATAATGGCCGTGTTACCATTGCCACACCAGCACTTATCCCTTCAAGTGTTGAATTCCAACCACATTGTGTTAAGAATCCTCCAATTGAAGGGTGTGATAATATCACCACTTGTGGAGCCCAACCTTTAATTATAAGGCCTCTCCCTTTGTTCCTTTCCTCAAACCTTTCTTCACCAAACCATTTTTCCAACTCTTCACTTTTATTTCCTTCCCTAATAACCCAAATAGATGGCCTTTTTGTTGCTTCCAAGGCCAAAGCCAATTCCATAAGCTGTGAAGGAACTAAGTTGCATAAACTTCCAAGACAAGCATAAGCTACATACTTTGATTGATGCAAATCTAGCCAACTTAAGCAATGGTGTTCACTTATTGAAGCCATGTTACCTTTTTGTGCTTTATCTAAACCATCTTTGTTAAAAAAAAATTTATACCTCTTCACCTCCATAAATACGATGAGGATAATATTTTCTAGAAAAGAATTCTGACCAAAACAAACGAGGATGGAAAGTCTAAGCCTTTTCAATTAAATATAGGCAAATTTCTTAACTTTGTTTGAAAGCAATGGCTAGACTTTAGAAAATATATTTAGTATTTTTTATATTATAGTGTTTTCCAACAATTAAACCGCTTCAAACAACAATAAACTAAAAATTCTTAGATAGAACTAATATTTTAAAATAAAAATAAATAAATTTTAGATAAACTTAAAATAGCAATATTTTATTGATTGTATCATAAATGTGTGTTTCTATACAATAATTTCTCTTCTTCAATAATACAAACAATACTAGAAAGAAAAAAAAAAAACCAATCAATATTTGTTTATGTAGTTCAATTTAAAATGTAAAACTTAGATTATAAAATATTAGTTGAAGTTCAACATTTTAAAAAAAAAAATCCTAATTTCTACCTGTTTTCCTTTTTCTCCTATTTGAAAAGAAATTAAGAGAAAAAGCTTAAATCCTTCCCCCAATAAATCTTACTACTATTCAATACTCAAAATGTTTGTAATGTACTTTCCAATTTAGGGAATATCTCCTCAAAATCACTCATTCTTTAATCTTGAATTCTAAAGGTTTTCTCTTTAAATTTTTTAAAATTAAATCCAAAAATGAATGAAAAACTTATATTTGGTTTAGATTCATATTTGTCTAACGCATGACTGTAAAATTATCCACCTCAATCTCATTTCATTCGCCTTGAGAAGGAGGCAGAAACAAAATCTTTGTTAGAAGTAATTCATAATGCAATGATATGCTATGAGTTGGAGGACCTCTATTTTAGTTTGTTGGGGATATGATGAACCCTAACATGATTTTTATGATGGATGATAAATAGAATTGTGGAAAATGATGAAAATATGTGGTAATGGTGATCCACATAAATGATAATGAGGGTGAAGACTCATCGGGGATAACAACATATCAACTTGGGGGTTTGAGAAAATAAATATAATATCAACTTGGGAGTCGAGAATAAGTCAAGACAAACGAATCAACTCAGAGGTTGAAGAAACATCAAGATAAAACAAACATCAACTCGGGGGTTGAAAGATATTTAAAGACACCAACATCAACTCAGAGGTTGAGAACACATCAACTCGGGGATTGAGAACACATCGACTCAAGGGTCGAGAACACATAAACTCGGGGGTTGAGAACACATAAACTCGGGGGTTGAGAAAATAAAGACAACATCAACTCAGAGGTTGAAAACATAAAGACAATAACATCGACTCAGGGGTCGAAAACAAATCAACTCGGAGGTTGAGCAAACATTAAAACAACATCGACTCAGGGGTCGAGAAAATCAAGGAAACATCAACTCAGGGGTTGACAGGCATTGATAGTCGATTGTGACAACATCCCAGAAAGTAATCCTTTAGGAGAAAATTTACTAGGGAAAGCTCTACAGAAAGAAAAGTTCTAAACAAGACTTCTGCTTGGGGAGAAAAATTAGCAAATGCGCTGGGGAATATTCATCATCAAAAGGTTGATGGAAAAGATGCATTAGGGAAGATGCTAGGAAACACTGGATTTTAAAAGATAGAATTTCAGACGATGTTGTACTTTAAAACAAAATGCCAGAAGAGACTGGACTTGACCGAAGGTATCAGTAATACAATTATCGGCTACAATGGAGTTTGACATAAAACACTGGACTCGACCGAAGGCATCTGTAAAACAAATACCGGCTATAACAGATTTTTGCCATACAACACCGGGCTTGAGAGGTCGAGGGATATAGGATAAACCAAAGAAATCAGGATCAATGCACAATGAGCTCGAATTAAACTTCGGTTATGCATGATTTGAGTTTCCTTTTATGCATGATATAGGAACGATTATGATATGCAAATGCTAATGTTATGCATACTAGGAATTTACAGAGGTTGTTTATGGAAGTTATGATTCCTCAACACTGAGAACTCAACCAACTATCATGTGCTAGATGCATTCAGATGAAACTTTAACACGCATGACAATTATACTAGTCAAAAGGATCCTTTTGGAGGATTGATGAGTTGTGCTAGCATGATTTCTCGACACTCGTCTCGAACTTAACAATTGCTGACGTAATGTAGAATTTGCTCGAGCAACTTGAAAGCAAGGAGAGGACTTGCCCCTCTGTGGCTCAAATTACCCCAGCCTGCTGGGTCTTTGAAGATGTTACCTCAAAAGGAGTTTGAAAGCAACTTGCCCTGGCCTTGAGGTAGTATTGTAATGAGATGACCTCAAGATGGCTTGTCCTGATAGTCTGAACTTTGAAGAGGTCTGCCCCCGATTAACCAATTCTTGGGATGGTTTACTTTTGATTGACTAACCTTTGGAGAGTGAGCTCACTATGCTCTTGAGGTGGCTTGCCCCACTATAAGTCTTGACGAATTTTTTCCTTTGACTAATCGACTTTTCTGGTGATTGGCTCAGATTGACTGAAGCTCAAATTAACTTTCCCCTGACTGGACTTCTTTCATCTGATCAAGTTTTTCAACTGGTTACACATTGTTGGAACTTCCTTTGATGTTGAACACTTATTTGCAAATAAAATAGTTCATTCAAAAATGGTAATTTTAATGCAATCCAAATGCAAGCTTTAAAATCAATCATTATTGAAATGATGGTGATATACAATGAACGATGATGTGATCAATACAAATGATTAGCAAAGATCTTTGTGGAGTCAAGTGAACGCAACTTTGCTCTAGTATGCTTTCAAAACAAACCATGCCTCAGTTAGATCTTTTAAGGGTTTAACATGGTCTGGTTCACGATTTTGAAAAAAAGCATATGAGACTCAAAAATTAATTTTAACCCACCTATTCTTTTTGATGAACTCCAGTTTTACATTCAATTAATTGACACACGCATTCAACTTTCAAGAGAGTTCGAAGGTGTGATGGTAAGAATGAAGATTCAAGATGAGACTTTTCTTGAAATGGCAGTCACCTTATTTTGTTTTTGTTTTTGTGAAGATTTTGATGACCTCTTTTGATTGATTTTTATCCCTAATTTTTGTCTGGACCACTTCTTTGAAGCTTTCGGTCCACCGAGATGCCCTAATTTTTACCTAAGACATCTTTTGTGGTATTCAACTTAGCGGGCTTTTTATTTATTTTTTTATTTTTGCTAAAAGATTGTGACTGCCATATTATTGGTGGATGAGGATGAACCAACATAATTTATCTTGGATTTTCACGACTTCTTCAACACTTTGTGGTGTGTGCGAATGATCACATGTTGTTGACCTCCTCAGGTGGGATGTTATCTCTTGCAATTTGAATGCGAAGTCATATTAACTAAACAAACTACCATGTCACAGGTTAAGATTAAGAGTTTTATTTCTGAAAGAAACATATACTTCTAGGCTCGAAGTGGTTGACTAGGGATTAGCTCTTTATTTCTTCGGTGTTTGGGGATTTAAACACAATGTCTTACATCATCGACAAAGTTTTAATTGAAAGAATACCACATCAGTTTCAGGTATCTGGTTTTCACCATTCTCCTTCCAATCTTTGTTAACACCACAGTTGGATAAAGACAAGTGAATGGGAGAAATATTTCTTGTTTTTTTTATATAAATGGAAAATGAGTGAACACGAATAGATTAATTCAAAAAATGCATGGTCATTTCATTAATATTACCATTAAAAGAAAACAATAACGCTTAAAAGAAAACAACGTTTATCATGCAAAGAAATTACAAATGAAATGCTAAAATATCCAAATGACTGCTAGTGTAGAGGATGAGCTTCTTGTCTTGATTCACTAATGGGCTAGTCTTCTTCAGAGTTGGAGGTTTCCGTGCTCATCGAGACTAGTATGATAATCATTGAGACTAGCCTTCTTCCATAGTATAGACTAATGGACCCACCTAACCAATTAAAGGATTGTTATGAAGGCCTTGAGGCGTAAATGAAATCAATTTAGACTCAATCAAATCCTGTACCCTATTCTTGAGTGCTTCGCAGTCTTCGGCTGAATGTCTTAGTGCACTAACATGGAAGCCACATCAGGCGTTGGGCTTAAAGCCTGTTGGGTACAGAAGAGACACTAGATCTAGTTTCTTCAGTTCTACCAATCCATTGTTGATCAAATATGGAAATATGCGACTGTACGACATTGGAAAAGGATCAAATCTACTCTTTGGCTTTTTAAGGTACTGGCTTCGTTGTTGAGGTGTGTGTTGTCGTTGGTATGGCTGTTGTTGTGACATTTGTTATTGATGCTGAGGGGGACTTCGATTGATAGGAGGATATTGACCATGTGGAGGGAATGACATCTGATATGAAGACGCAAAACGTTGTTGACTTTGAACATCTACTACATATGGATGCTGATAGTAGGGCATTAGAGGTGGATCTTCCTCGATTGAATTAGTTTCATTCTTATCTTCACTTTGGGAATCACTAAGGGATTCACTCTCAATGATCTGGATACTCGAGGCACCTTGGATTCTTCCACTTTTGAGGCCACTCTCGATATGCTCTCCAACTTTCACCAGGTCAGAGAAACTTGATGATGCATTGCATACCGTCCTTTCTAAGTATGAGCTTTATAGGGTATCCATATACATGTCCACTAAATCTTTCTCTGAGAGTGGTGGTTGAACCCGAGCAACAAACTCTCTCCATCTTTCGACGTATTACTTAAATGACTCATCACTGTCTTGAGATAGATCTTTCAATTGAAAGCAACTGAGAGCCACATCCAAATTGTATTGATACTGCTTCGAAAAAGCGTTAGCTAGATCCGACCATGACTGGATATGGCTTCTTTCTAATTCCATGTACCAACTCAATGATGTCCCCCTCAGACTGTTTTGAAAACAGTGAATCATCAACTTGAGCATATGCAGTCATTTTTTGGAAGAACATCACCA